ATCCACACCATTTGTTCTGCTTTATAGCAATCAGGTGTATCAGGAAAGACAGGGAGCAACTTCGTTTTTCTTTCAATTTATTTCCTATTCAACATATCCCTTGGGATACAAATCAGCAATGAACCACAGACTTCAATAGCACAGTTTACAGTAGATAAGGATCTGGTGTACAGATGGGGCTTTCATTCCAACCTCTCCAGTAATGTCTTTCCTTAGAAGGAAAAGGAAAAGCTATTGCACTTAGACTGCCTGGCACAGGCAATGACCAGTTATTGTAACAGTGACTTTATAGGTCACACAGTGTCAAGATACAAGAGAGATATTTTGCTTTATTTCCAGTGAAAGCAAGATTCAGTAGGAAAGTCCATCCCTTCTGAACACAGTAACTGACAAAGATGTAAAAGCTAAAAGCAGGATGAGCTAATAGCATGGTAAGCAAGGCTAATGCTGGAACAGAGATCACGTGAGTAAACAATTTCTGCAGATCTATCCCTGCTCCAGTTACAAGGAGCTCTACACAGTATGGATGATCACACCAACTAATGGGGCAATGGCACTGTTTGGGGTGGTTTTAGGGAGGTAGTGGCTTTAATTCTATTTTGCTGAACTTTTTACTGAAAAACTGATTTCAGGCATCAAATACTGTAATGTTTTGATAGACTCTCCTGCATCTGGGGGTAGGGAACACACTGGTCAGAATATGAGACGGACACTGCTGGATGTTTGCCTGATCCAGCATTCAAACTAAACCTACATGCAGAATATCTGAAAAAGTTTCTGGATCATCCTGATCCTGTAGGACATTCACATGATGACAGTACACAGGTAGTGTACTTAATCCTGTACAGATAAAAAATTCTCACTCCCTAGGAAGGTGAGAATTCTTCATAAAAACACATTTTAAAAACCTGACTTTTTAAACTTCTTACAAATATCTTGGGCTCAGTTTACAACACTGCAGTGACATCTCATGGCTCCATAACAGTTCCAGCAGTGAACACATGCTGTCAAAGAACACAGACAAAACTGAGGAACTCAAATATCTGCATGTAGAAAAGGTAGCTGGCACTGCTATGGGATAATCTAACCCCATTAGGTGGTAACAGCAGACTCATTTATCCTCCCAAATAAAGCTAATACACTATGCTGCCTGTTACAGGGTACTTACATCTGTTTGTACACAAGCTTGCATCCCATGTCAAGGATGCCAGTTTTCAATAAAAGGATGGAATGGAAGTGGAGAATAAAATTACAAGGAACTAGGCAGGGGTTAGTGAAGTTAAGGAGCAGGGTCAGAGGAGCAGCAGTAACTGCTGGAAAAATTGATTCCTACCCTTCCTAACACAGACAAGCTACCATGCCAAGACATAGATGCCTTAAATAGCCACCTTCTTCAAGTAAATAAAAAGGAGGAAAAAAACCTCAAAAAAAACCCAAAACAAAACCAAAAAACAGTCTCTTAATTTAAGAAGCCTGAATCATCATATGAATATCAGTACAGGGAGTTTTATACCTGCATTGCAGAACCCCAGCAAGAGGTGGATAATTTCATGTATTAATAAAGTTGAAATTTTCTTAGAAAGAAAAAATATCAAAATGCTCAGTCAAAACTGAGGACTAAACCCATTCCAGTCTAGTCAATCACTGCATCTGTATACCTTTTCAAAATTTAATGCAAGATCAGTCTTTATTCCTTATTAAAACCCAAGCACAAGATCATTTTCCAGGTCAAAAGAAAGCTACTATATAATTTATTTTCTTATGATGAACTACAAAGTTTTTAACTAGGTCTCTTGGTAACCTGTTTTGGGGTTTTTTGCATTGCTAGGATCATTAAGGTACTTTATAAAAGGCAGCAAACTGAGGAGATGGAGGGAAAGGAAGCAGGTTTACATTGCTGTAGCTGAAGGTAGTTTTTTCGCACAATACATTTTTTGTGTGATTATTTTTAAAGGGTTCAAGCTCAGGCTTATGGTGAAAACTCTGCTGTCCCAGTATGCCACCATTGCATCATTAATTTTTTACTCCAGTGGCTTAAATCTTCATCATGTTTTCAGGGTTTTGATCTGAATGTGGGTGCACTGTCTAGAGAATGTGTATGCACTATCTAGAAGAACACACAGTGAGCTCTAAATAGGCTCTACTTCCATTTGATTAATTTTGTGTCCTACTACAGATATTGAAAAGTCTGAGTATTTCAAAACAGGAATTGCAAAAAGTAAAACCTGTAAATCTTTAACACTCAAAAGAAATAATATAAAACCTTAAGGCTATAGAGTCTGCATTATCTCTACTCTCCTGGCTTTGACACTTTGGTCATTACTGGAGTCGAATCTTGCTGTGGCAATTTTGGTATTTAGTGAAAATTATTTGGATTTCAATCAGAGGACACATAAAGAAAATCCTCAAAGACACACTCACCTTCTACGGAAATATGTTTTCCTCCTCTGGCAGTCACCAGTTCTCATACAAAAGAAAGGAAATTAGAACATCTGGCAAAGTGAACTCTGCTATTTTCCTAAGAATGGAGGGTTCATTGAGCTCTGTTATAAACTGGAATAGTTGCCACTTGGCTGATACATAAAGATGAGATCAAGTTAACAAATAATAAAACATGCACAATTGCACACCTTTACTACTTTTCTTGATTTCCCTTTATTACTTCATAACATATATCACTCTCACCTAAACATTTGTTTTGTTTGGGTTTTACTTCTGTTCTTGTGACATGCTGTTTGGTTTTGAAGATCCTGATCTATTGAAGAGCCTAACTTCATTGCAGGGTGTCATATGAGGCACAGACAGAAACATCAATGTCTGCATTTGACTGGACAACACAGACCCTTCAAACCCATGTGTTCCTTTTCCTGCTCTTTTTTTCTCTCACATGATCAAACAACCATGTCTCCATTGAAGTAATAGTGATTTCAGAGATCAGCAATAACTCTGCAGATTCATCCAAGCACAAAGCAGGGTAAAAAGAATAAATTATAAGTTTGGAAAGACATCTAAGCATAAACTGACTATTCAGACTACTGCAAAAAGATAGATGACTGAGTAAAGATACAGTAGGTGTTTACAAAGCCATGAACAACTTGTATTTGTGTGCTCTTCACAAAAGAAGTGGTTCTTCAACAAAAGGACAGGATATCAACTGAAGCCAGATGCTCGCAGATTCACTGCTAGCAAAATGGAGGCTCAAGTATTGGGTGCTTAAGTTGTGGAATGCTTTGCAGCAGTGTGTTGGGATTGCTAAAACATTGGATAGGCACAAAGAGCCATGAATTACGACAATGAATTGAAAGCAAATAAATCAGAGGGCATTAAAAATCCACCTTTTAGCTCTAGAAGTCTCTGATCCTAGAGCATTACTACATTTCTGCTGGGTTCTTTTATTCTTCTCTCACACAGATTTTCAGGGAGGTTGGAAAAATTACTTGAAAAAAATTTGATTAACCAAGGATTGGCTCATTTTTTTGATGAAAAATTTATCTACCATACAGAACACAAGGATTCCTCTTGGGACTCAAGTTTAAGATCATTACAGAGAGCCTGAAGTTAAGCTCTAACAAGAGGATCCACTTTAAAAAAGTGTATGCACATATCACTTGTAAAACAGCAGAAAGACAATTTCCTGCAAGATACACTGGGGATTTTAGCTATAACTTCCAGGCTGCTCCAGTTCTAGTTCTAAACTGGTTCTTTGTTTCTAGGCAGCAAAAGAGTCAAAGAAATGTTCATCCACCAGTACTGGTGGAGGCCCCAGCTCTGTTTTCCAGACCATGTTCACTGCCAACTTCCTTGCTGGCAGTACTTTAAAAATAAACAAAGCACAGGAATTTGTCTTAGCTCTGATGGATGCTTTCATATCATCATGCTGCTCACGTGTCTGAGGCAGACACAATTTTGTTGAAAAATAAATACCTTATTGCCTTTTAAAACCCTCAATGTATAAGTAAGAACATACCAAAAATGAGACTCTACAGGTCACATTACCATGTGGAAAGGTTATGGAACATAACAGCCAGATCGGAAGTGACATTTCCAGGTCATAGTTTTCTGTCCTTAATTCCTTCTGATTGTACTCAACCATTTTATTTTGGTAGCTCAGAGCAGACATGCTGCAACAATGCAGATTATAAAATCCACTACATACTAGACTTTATTCAGTGTTGTTTTATCACAGAGATAAATACTGCAAAATGGTCCCACAGGACTAAAGGGAGACTCTGGTTACATGCAGAAGGAAAAAATAATAGTTGGGTTTTCATTTGAAAATACACTCAATATTTTTGGCATGCTATTTTTTTATTAATAGCTGGAGAGTTATGGTCAGGTTAAGGGATTCAAATGTAGTGTACCTATAATTGCTCTTGTTCCAGCTGTACAAACACTTATGCCCATGAACAACTTAATACTAGTGAAATTTTCAAAGGTAAAGTAAAAGTTTAGGATATGCAATATCCTAACAAGGTCCACCATTACATACACATTGGTGTCCTCAGGACTTCAATGTCATTATTTTTTTTCTGCTGCACTCCTATGCAATAGAAATGGCATTATTTTAGCACTCGTAATGGAATCTGCCTGATGCCTCCCTACTTACTGCTTATAACATGTCTGGTCTCTTTCAAACAAATCATGTAATTTGATGAAAGATGAAATCATGTCATTTGACTTGAAAATGGAAAAAATCTGTAGCAAAAACCAGCTTGTCTGAGCACAAGTGTATTTATGCACGCAGGGAAAGACTGGGGAAAGCTGAAGATGTACATTTGGTATCTACTTCAAATGCTATCAGATTAGTCCTCTGCATCAATTCATGAGGAAAAGCTTTCTCAGAAAAGTGGTATATTACCAAGATGGGTCAAAACTACCTTGGAGCAATTGTACACCATCCTCCCACTACAATTATTCTGAGCAGTTTTTCATCATTCCTTCATATACATTTGTTCTTTTCACCCAGATTTTATAGCTTAAGGTCATGAAAATGTTTTTACCACAAAGCTATCTCCAAAATTCAGTCAGATGTCATTAGTACAGTAATGAAGTTCATTCATGAAGGAAAAGGTTTTTCAAGCATCCAATATCTTGCTCACCCTGGAAGACAGTTATAAAGAGTATGGTTATTCGATGAAATCTTGCAAGAATGTAGTTAAATAGAGAAGCAATATTTTAATTAAAGCAAAATTTTAGTTTTTAATTAGAGTAAGCACATCAAGCAAAATAATCAGAATGAATTTTTAATTCATTAGCAGTATTGGCAGGAGGATAAACTACCCAGTCCTGTGTCAAACCATCTTACTTATAATCCACAGAAACCATTACAGTGATCCCAAGGATTTTCCAAAAAAAAATCAAAAAAATCAACCTCCCCATAGTCCACTGAGCTGACCTTTTTAATCAAGTCCAACTGATGTTCTTCAAACTTTCCCCATTGCTGGACATTTCCGTACTTAGACGAAAGTTGAAATTTAACCCATTTTGATATATCTATATTTATTAGAACTGTTAAACTTGCTAACAAATCAGAGAGAGCAATCAGAACTTGATTACAGTGTGAGATTTGGGGGGGTGGGGGTTATGAAGAATGTAATCAAGAGAGACCAATCATGCACCTGAAAGACACAGTCTCAATTAAGAGTATGATGTGCAAACAAATTTACTGTTTGGGAAGGTCAAGTACAAACTCAATGAGCAGTTGCCTCATGTACATTACCCTACAAAAGACAGTATGCACAAAGGAGTTTTACCTTCTCACTGATCTCATTGTTTAGTATTTAGGCTTTCACACAGTACTTGGCACAGCACAACTGATACAAATCGAGTTCAGAAACTTAATTTTGCTGGCAAAATAGCAAAAATACGTTCTTACACAAAACTTCTCCCAACAGGAGAAGACAGCACTCTTAATACCCAAACCTTCATGAGAGCAGCAGCCACAGAAAGACACAACCTGTACATGAAGGACAACCCACAGAAGGCATCAATAGTTTCTTATACCTGATCACCAACAAGGATCTTCAACAAGGGTCTTCCCTGCCAGATTCAGCAATATCAGCTGAGGCAGCAGGGATTGTTTCCTTCTGCAGATATGGATTTAGTTTAGCCCATAAACAGCACCACAGGGTACGCCCTCTGCAAATAGAAGAGGGTAACCCTAGAAAGGGAACTTGAAATCCACATATCCTCTATATGGGTCTTGTTAACCTCCAATAGGTTTCCAGTTGTGCCTTACATATCTAATATCAAGCAGTAACTAATTCAGTCCAACCGACTGCTGAGTTCTACAGAGTTGCCTGTTAATAAATCTGAGGAGGAAAAATCCTTATTTATAATAATCTCTTCTTTCTCTTCAAGCTGATACCTTTATGAATACAATGGGGTATAAAGAACTGGGTTTTGGTAGTGGTGATGGGGTTGCAGAAGTGGTCTCAGCGAAAAGAAGTATGGGGCTACCTTGTGTCAAAAACAGCCGACGCAACAATGGACCCACTGTATATTGAATCTGAGCCAGCCAAAGATTGTCACGCCTCTCTGAAAAATATTTCAAGAAAGGGCAGAAAAAGATACGACTGAGAGGACAGTGTATGGTACCAACAGAGTAACAAGGTCACAGTAGAAGGCAGTCCATGCTGGAGCAGGTACAACCCCAAAGGGACTACAGTCAGTGGAGAACCCAGACCTGAACAAAGCACACAAGTAAACATAGCAGAAGAATAGAGGAACAAGTAGCAGCAAGGACAAAATGTTACATACTGACCTCTAATTCCTTCATCATACATCTCCCTCTCTTAAAGTACTACATGTAACTTCCACCAGTAACAAGAGGGGAGGGGTCTGGAGTGAAGTTAAGCCTGGAAAAGTGGGAGGAAAAGTGTTTTCACAAAGTGTTTAAATGTTTGTTATCTTTGTTTCCCAACGCCCAAATCACTAACTAAATGTTTATGATAATGGACAATAAATTACTTTAATCCCCAGCTGGAGTCTGTTTTGTCAACAGTAACTGGTGAATGATTTCCTTGCCTTTATCTTGACTCATGAGTTTTCCCACTGCTGTTCTCCTGTTTTCTCTGTTCCTCTTCCAGCCCTGTCCTGTTGTGGAGGTAGAAGTGTGAGAGCTTGGCTGCGAGCTGAAGTCAACCCATCACACTGAGGAATGTGTCAAGAGTTTTAAATTTTTAATTACCTGGGAGTACAAATTTGACAGCATAACAAGTTGTTTTAGTAAAGGGTTTCCTTGATTAAGTTCAAGTTTCTTGAAAATAACATTAGTCATGCTAATTAAAATGCCTTCATCGGACACAAGAAAATAAATAGCATCAAAGGAACACTTTTAAAAAAGGCCCATATCACACAATGCATAGAGCCTGAATTTTAATTTTTCTTCAAAAAGGAAATAAAATATCAGCCAATAGTAACCCTTCAGGAGTTGCTTCTGGTAAAAATTTGATATCCTATGAAGAATTAGGCTTTCCTTACAGAAATGTTTTTTTCAACAGATGACAGAGACACATTTTAGCATCTATTTTATAACTTTTCTGCCCTTAAAATTGAGAAAATTAACTAGGTTTATGTTAAAGATTTTGATATATTGGTATCAAGATGAATTTCTCTCTTTTCTTCCCTCTTTCTATAATAAGGTCCCTATCACCATGACTGTTTCAAAAGAGATGCCACAAATTACAGCCCAGAAACCTGAGAAACTGTTTTTAAAGTGTAAGGAGGAACATTTTACTTTTAGAAAGTTGTATTACTTTATGCAATAAACTAAGAAATTTTGGAGGACTGCAATAATCTCTGCTGAAATAGTATAACTAAAAAAAAAAACCCTACAGAATCTATACTAACATGATTTTATATTTCAGACTGCTATTTCTCTAGTGATTCAGGGGTAAGGGGACCCAAAATTTGTGACCAGTCTGAATACTGGATGTTTGACTGTAAAAACCAAATCTAATTCTCTGTGAGTCAAGAAAACTTCAAAATCAAAATTAACTTAAGCAACTTTAACCACACTCATAGGTAAATCAGACCCAAACTAAAAATGTACTTTTTCAATTTCCGTTCCTTTAACCATGCAAAAAATTCTAGATTCAATCTAATCATAGATGGACACCTAGTGGTATAATATAACTGATTCCTTTATTCAAATAGCTTCATAAATCCAAAGCCCTATGAATAGAGGGGATTTCTAGCATATTAAAAATTAAAATATCATATACAAACTTAAAGGCTTAAATTTTCACCTATGCTTTCCCTGACTTCCTATTTTCATAAAAGTACCATCTGTGGCAATCAGAGGTCTGGGTTAATATTCAGAAGCCTTCAATGAAGAAAAAATTAATTTTGTAGCTAAAAGACTTTAATATAATCAATAGGTAGGGGTTCAGTCCTGAAAATACAATACTTAGTGTATGTAACAATAAATTTGTGGTACTTGGCACAAAAATAAATCCAGAGCAGTTGTCTGTTTAAGAAAACATTTTATGCACTGGAGCATATAAACAGATTTGCTCTGGAACAGCCAAGCAAACCAGGCCCATAAATATAGATATAAGGAGTTGCTCCTACATAGCTGAAAAATATGGGTAACATTTCCCCAAATTATTGCAGAATCCATTTAACACTTGTGCATACACATTCAACAAGTTATTGACAAAACAGATATTAATATTCAAAGATGTTCTGAACAAACAGCAGCCATTCTTTAGTGAGCTATTTTACCTTCCTTGGCTTCTTGTCACTTTGCTCCTTGCCTCTAAGTTCTAGATCTCCCCAACTCTTCAAAATATTAATCATCACATGTCTAAAATATATTCACCTGATATTTACCGTAGTGAATCAAACTGGAAAACACAAACCGACAACCTTTTAATGTAGGATGAAGAGACTATTCAACATACTTAAATGACTAAAATAATGCAAATTACATGAAGGGGGAAGGGGCCAATAGAGTGATTAGTTTTATTTATTTTATAGTAGTGACAACTACCGTATTCTTGCTGTACTTGGACCTAAAAAAGGAAGAGATTACCTATAGTCTGACTAAATGTGAAACAGCACAGTCTATGGAAGCAACAAGAGAACAATGTCCTGGCTAAGCAACAGTGTAGAAACATGAACAGCATCTCAGGTAGAAGGTGGGAAGCAATTTATAAAAGGAGAGCACTTGGGAAAGGATGTCTCTTATGTCACTCATAAGAGAGTAGAAATGTGGAAGGCAGTTACATACAGGGGCACATAAAGTTTCCCACACAGTGTTCCTCTTTAACAAGTAGAGGAAAAAGTAACCATTGGTAAAATATATGGGATGCCGGTTCTTAAAATGGTGAAGGGGGAGGCCCCTACAAACCTGAGCATAGCATATCCAACTTCTGTTTCTGAACAAGGTGGTCACCTATTGAAAAAATTCACAAGTAACCTAAAAATGGCAAGAAATAATAAGGAGAAGAGCCAGTGCTGTATTAGAGCATGCAATCTGGGAGAAAATAAACACCCTTGCATTTCAGCTAGTCCTCAGAGATCAGAAGGGTTGGGTGCAGCTACGCTGAATTTCTGATTATAACCAATTTGGCCCTCTAAGTCCAGTCACATTCAATAAGAACTTTCACAATCACAAATTCATGACTGGTATAGTTTATCTGAGCAACAGAAATAAAGATTTGGAATAGCCATTGATAAATGCACTTATTGCATTAATGATAAATATATCAAGGCAAGCTGGCAATTAGTTAAGCTAAATTACCAATTCAAGCTAAAGTAACAAAATAAGCTTTTCACTAAACTTAACTTCAGTTAATCAGCTTGATTTCACCAGAGTATGTCCTGACACAGTCAGAATCACAAATCTTAAAAAAAAAGCCCTACCTGTTTTGGGGTGGAGAGAGGAGGAAACCCAACAACTTGTCAGTGACCTGGGGTCATATTTTCATCCTCTACATGGAAGATTCCAAATGTCAGTGTTATATTCTTGGGTGAATGGGGGTGGACTGTAGTCAAATATAATTGGTCAAATGTTGCTGCTATCATAGGTAGGGGGGAAGCCCCTTTCTCATTTTCATATTGATGGGTGTATTTTTTCACGTGCAAAGGAAGAATGATGAGGGGCTTTTTGACCTTTGGGCAAGCTGAGTTATGGGACTTACAGATGAATCAAAGGTAGAATAGAACCTTGACACTTCAGCATTGCTTCAAAAAAGTCAAAGCAGCAGTAAAGGCTGTCTGATCTCTGCCCAGTAGTCTGCTTCCATCAACCTGTTAAAACCATACACCATTGTCTCCTCAAAGGACCATATGCACACTTTTAACGTGCCCTGTTACACCTGGGTGAGGGAGATTCACATCTCAGGGTCAACATCCCTGTACAGAGGTGCCAAGTGCTCTTCTTGCTTCACTGAGACAACATTGGGCTGGGAGACCTCTGCTTCACCCCACACACTGAGCTGTTAAGCCTTGCTCTAGCCAGGTGCAAGACAAGCGTCTCAGCTCACGTTGGCTCAACCAGCCTTGACAATTCTCTGCAGCAAGCCTGGCAATTTTCCACAGCCAGTGATACAAATAGTCTGGTTTGTGAAAGCCTGCTATAGAAAGTTGTACAAGGATCTCTCCTCTGTATGTAGTAAACAGCCTGCAAAATTAAATGTTGTTAAATCACAGGGGAAAAAACACCATATTAGGTACATAATGACAGATGCTAAACCATTAATCTTTTCTCAGAAAAGCTGAGTCACTCTGGAGAGTGCTCAGAATTTTGGTCAATGCTAAACAGTGGTTAAAAGTGCAAACAGAGTTTTAGGCATCATTATGAAACAGAATAAAACAATGCACAAAGATACAAAATTAATAAGACAACTCTAAAACTGCACACCATTTTGGTCACTCCATGTCAAAGGAAACACTGTGAGGCTGAAAAGAGATTGAATGTGTGACAAAATAAATAATGGTAGAAAGAGATAGTAAAGAACACAAATTTATGGGCAAAATAAAAGATGAGTGATAGGATCATAATTTTTTTATAAGCAAGGGAGAAAAGGTGAAAAAATGCACTGAGAAACAGTATGGAAACTGGTTTATTGGTTTTGGTTTTGGTTTTGTTTTAATGGAATGTTATACAACAAATTTAAACATTCCCACAAAATACTTTGAATGTCAAAAGCAAAATGTGCTAAAGCAACAATTAGACTAATTAATTGAAAATAAACTCAGCAAGTAGTATCAGAGGCAATAATGTGAGTTCAACTCACAGCCTACAGGAAGCTGAGACAAAACACTACTTTGGCTTTTTCCTATTCCTATACTCCTTCAACAGGCATCAACTACATTCCAGTCAGAGGAATAAAGGACCAGAGTAACTCCTATTCTGACTCTGTATTGCCTCAACAGAGGGAAAGTAATCATTCAAAGCATTGTGAATTGCATTGTTGGCTGATCCGCAAAAAGTTTATGGATTTTGCATGGGTAGAATTGAGTAGAGTTTCACTGAGTTTGGATCTGGGTGTTCTAGAGTTTTGTCACTTTGGTATTCTTTTAAACTTCCCTGTTGACAAGTTAGACTGTCAGTTCTGAGCAGACTAACGATGTTTTATTTCCTGTATGTGTGTTAGTTCACTGAAATAGTTGTATTAGTCAACCATCAAGTCCTTGCAAAGAAAACAATCCTTAGAGAAAATCATCCTAAATCAGTATCCATTCCAAGTTCTGTTAAAAGAGACCTCTTGTGCTGTGTTCGTTTTCTTTCCTGCAAGGGCCCAGCAGGAGATTACAAACACTGCTTTTTTATTTTAAAACAAAAAGGGGGAATTATGGATGCTAACTGTGAAGCAGGGAGCAAGGTGCCTGTGGAAATTACAGGCCACATAGCTTTCTCAGTCTTGCCTGGGAAAGTGGCCTGGGAATTCATAAGGAGGAATTAAAACAATCCTCAGAGATAGAAAACAGCCTTGCAGGTGCTGTTTGTCTGTTCCTTGTTTTCTTGCAAGAGAAGGTCGAGGGGTGGTGAACTCCACTGACCAATGATGGTGATGTGTTAGTTTACTAACCAATAAGAGTTTTCTTTTCTGCACTTTTCATGTATTGGTCTATAAAAAAGACCCGTGGTAATAAATTGGGAGAAACTTCTCCAGTTCTGACTCCACGAGAGAGTCTGTGTTGTTCTTTTGCCGTTCCCAATAGAGTGACAAATCGTGGAGGAATTCACAGACCAAATCATATTGAAGGTTTGTATCTTTGGGGTTTTCAATGCCTGGGGTGAGGGGGGAATCACTAAAAGCACTTTCCTCTTCACACATGCTCTCTGGCCCCTTGGTCATGGTCACAAGCCACAAGACTAGTCCTGGCCAGTTTTGGGGTCTGACCAACCCTTTTATCTCAGTCTTCTGGCATTCTTGCCTCCCTTCATCCTGTGTTTGGGTTATTACTCCTTTCTTTGCACAAAAGTCCTGCATTCTTTCACACTGTTTTGCTAGCACAGCTAGCAGATGTTCATCCTGCTTTTGAAAGCATAGCAGAGGTTACAGAGATAATATACATTTCTCTACCAAACGGAATACATTTTAAAGATAATATATGTTTCCAAGTTAGCTATTCCTAATTAATGCCTAAATTTTTAACTCCCTTGTCTCATTATAAAGCATTACAAAACCTTGGCTTCAGTCAAATGAAAATAGGTATAGCAATAAACAAAATTTAGGTAAGAAGCATCACCAACATGCAAACCTCTATCCCTATAACACATTTGAAAAAATGAGGAGAAGAGGCAGCAAAGCAATAATCAAAACTAGGAGGCAGGAAGAGGAGCTTGGAGACAGCAAATTACAGCATTATGTGACACAAAAGAAAAAGGGGGATGAAAGCATCTTCAGAGGAAGGACAAATGAGAATGAACTGATTCTGTCTTGTTAGCAATGAAAAACTATGACACAGAAACAGAGACCTGAATTTCATCATCTGACACTGCCTCTGCAAAAAGGCATGGGGTGGAGGGAATAATATTAAGATAACATATAGAATATATGACCTTCCCAGAGAATATTGACTGCAAAAGGCAGGCAGGAAGGAAAGAAAGCAAGCATTAGATGAAATTAGGAAGGAAGGCACATAACGTAAGTAAAAGGTGGGAAGTAAGGAATACTCACACAGCAAATATTACCAAAGGGAAGAAAAACTGGGGCAGAGGAGGACCTGGATGTGGAATTGGGAATTGTGACAATGGAAAAAGGGGTTTAACAATCTTAGTGGAAGCGGTTTTCTGCACAGTATCTTGGGAGGCAAGAGTTAACCATACAAAAATTTCAATGTCTGGGATATATCAACGTCAATTGAAAGAAATTATTCTTCCTGATCTAGAAAGAAAATGGGCCAATTTTAATATCTGGCTCCAAAAGTAAAACAGTACTACAAGCAAAAGGCAAAAAATTTATGTGTGTGAAGTCTTAGGTGCAGTCATGACCTTAATAACTTACTGTGCTTTTTGTACATTTAAAAGTCTTTTGTAGAATTTTACAGAGGATCAGTAAGAAACAGAAACACACACACCATTTATTACCTGAAAAGGGCCAATCACAGTGACCATCAAATAGTGAAAAAATAATTCTTCCAAGTGACATTTTTGAATCCAGATTAGCTGGAAGAGGCCTTAGCTTATGTTACAGAATAAGGGGTTTTGGCATGTAGATTTAAGTAAGGAACAGCATTATCTGTGGTTCTGCCCAGTTCAGCCTCCTTTTCATCACTCTGAATACTTCAGAGTTGTATTTGATCCATAAATGGTTTAGTCTGAAGCCATGATACACAAACTAATTTTAGGCTATGCAAGTTACACCACTATGTGTCAACATCAAATTGAAGCAGAACCTGACTGAAACGCTTTCATTTTCATGGTATCAATCATTAGGGAATATGGAACAAATAGAGCTTTATTCAGAAAAACCTTTTAGTGTAATGTGAATCTTTGCTGTGCTCAGACAAAACCCATAAAATATACTTTGAAAGAAAAAGAAAACTCAAAACTACCAACTTCATAAGGAGCACAGCCAAAAAGGAAAGTTATGAAGAATACAAGAACTTCCCCCTGCATAGCAGATCACAAAAACCGAGTTCCTTTTTGCACTAAACATTACTGTATTTATATAAATACAGTCAGTAAAGCACAAAGGGATAAGGAAGAGAAGAAAATGGAATGGGAACACTTAACTCTGTACTTAAGAAAATTATAGGGAAAATAATAGATTTCAGTATTTCAGTACCTAGTACTCCTGCATTTAGCTGCACCTCGAACTAAATCTATAATCAGAAGACAGGCTGAAAAGACACACATAAAGGAGAGCTGCATAATAACTTGCCAGACAGTATTTTTATATCTCATGAAAACAATACATTGCAATAAACTGTATTTTCAGGCCGAAGTAAAAGCCTGTAGAATCACAGAGTTGTTCAGGTGAGAAGGAACCTCATCAAACCTTCTGTGGAAAGAGGAGCATTGATGAGACTAGCACCCTGTCTATACCCTCCTGAAAACCTCCAGCAATGTCCCCGGGGAGGCTGCTCCAATGAATGGTTGATGCTTCTATAAACATTTTCTTTCTTACGTCAAGATGAAACCTCTCCCAGTGCAACCTGTTCCCATAATGCAACCTGTTCCCATAATCCCTTGCCATGTGACTCCTTGTGGAGGGTCCCCACTCCTCAAGAATCCCATCCCTCAGATTTCCCCTAACTGCCTCTTATGGTAGAAAAAAAGAGAAAATTTTGAACATCCTAGCTAAGCAAAACTGCTAGCCTGATTTTTTTGTTTTAACGAGGATCAGTACAATACCCAGGATTTTTTGTTTGCTGTCTACTTTACACCTATATGACAAACAGGTGCACACTGAAAATGCTCTCTTTTAAAGGCTAGAAAACCTAGCTTCAAGGGGATTAACCATGTCCATCTCTATTAAAAACTGAGAAATGGAAAAAAAAAGAACAACCTTACTCTGTAACCCCTGAGCTGCACCTGCTTCCTTCACTCATGACTGACAACCACGGGAGAGAAGGGATGGAAGAGAATCCAGGGAAGTGATTCTTCACCTGTACTCGGCACAGGTGAGGACACACCTTGGGTGCTGTGTCCAGCTCTGGGCCCTTCAGTTCAGGAAGGACTCTGAGGTGTTGGAGTGAGTCCAGACAAAAGGAGCGACGGAGCTGGTGAAGGGTCTGGAACACAAATCCTATGAGGAGCAGCTGAGGGAGCTGCGGATACTCAGCCTTGAGGAGGGGAGCATCTCCTCTCTCTGGGGAGACCTTATTGCTGTCTACAACTCTCTGTAAGGAGGGTGTATCCAGGCGAGGTCTATCAGTGACAGGACGAGAAAACGTAGACTTAACCTGTGCCAAGAGAGGTTAAAGTTGGACATTAAGAGGAATTTCTTCACCGAAGGAATGATTAGACACTGGGTTGCCCATGGAGGAGGTAGAGTCAAAGCCCCTGGAGGTGTTTAAGGCTGGACGTAGCACTTAGTGTCACAGTCTGGTTGACACAGTGGTGTTCGGTCATGGGTTGGATTCGATGATCTCAGAGGTCTTTTCCAACCGAACTAATTCCGCAATTCTGTAATCACGCAGCTCCCAGCGCGCGCTCGCCCCTCCATCGCCTCAGGCGGGCGCGCGCTGCAGCCGCCCACCACCTCACCGCCACCGCGCGCCCGAGCACGCGCAGTGCGGCCCCGGGCGGGGCGG